CACAGATTTACAGCATTGCTTGGGGGAATGGATGCACTTCTAACAATGAGTTGAAACTTTGTGTGTACGGGGGTCGCTACACACAGGCTGCATTGTCAGCTGTTGAGTTTGCGCGACACAGCTGAAGCATTCATGGGTCACAGAATGAAGTTGAGATCCCCCCTAAATGAAGATTCAGTGCAGACTGTAGCACTTTACCGTAGTCTTCTTAGTAGCTGTGTCCTGATTCCTGGGTCGGTGCTCAGAATCTTTTTAAAATGCAGCTCGACAGCTCATACATATTTTTTCTACCGTACGTCAGATAAACAAAACAGATGAGCTGTTTTCTCCCCTTACCTGGCCTCTGTCATTGGCTGTGAGTGGAGCATTCCTCTTGGCTCTCAGGTATTCATCAACAGGCAAGGACAGGCTCAATCCTCTGCTATCTGACAGCAGTATGGCTGTGCAGGTGTTATACAAACAGAAGACTAATTTACTCACTTTCAACAAGGGGCTGTAAATCCCTCATAGTTTTCTTAAAAAATGCCGCCAAGAAATATCTCTCTACTAGGAAAAAACGACCTTTCAACAAACCTTTGATCAGCCTTTGATCACAGGGGGGGGAAAGGTGAAGGTCATGACATCAAAACTCTAAAGCTGCATTAGGCACAAACATTCTGGTGAGTATCACCAAGATGTAGCCAAACCTGTTTCATCGTTACTGGTAGGCCCCTACATTGTTGTGGTGTAATCATAAGAGTGCAATGAAAATCAGCTGTTTTTCAGAATCACTCAATCATCCCCAATAATAATAATAATAATAATAATAATAATAATAATAATAATAATAATAATAATAATAATAATAATAATAATAACAAAAAGGATTATACAGGATAATGTGGGAAATAAATCCAGAGCCATTGTAGCACTAGACTGAAACATTTTGATTTATTTGTTTATTTATTGCAATAATATCATGTGAGAATAGGCTGTGCAGCGAGTTTGAATATCCAACAGGTGTTCACAAGTGTTTGTCTGTGCAGGTGTTGTTGCTATTTTCTAAAGAACGGTTTAACATTTGTTTCTGAGGTAAACGTTTGACTGCACACACACGTCTACTCTCGGCGGATGTGGTGAATCAAAAGCCTTAAAAAGAGCAAGATCAGCAGCAGTAAACTGCTCTGCCTCGGTGAGTCTAACTCACTCCCTGCCCCCACTCAAACCCCAACACATGTGTGTGTGTGTGTGCGTGTGTGGGAGAGAGCCGAAGGCAACAGGGTGGCAACACAGTGGGGGCAGACGCGTCATAGGGCACGTTCGCTGCGCTCTAATCAGTTTGCATAATCAGGAGACGGAGATAGGCAACGAATTCCTTTCAAAATAAGAGTCTCACATACAATTACAAAGTCCAGTATATGACAACTACTCACACCTACCTTACTTTTTGTAAGTAAGTAAAATTTATTTATTTAGCACTTTTCACAGATAAAAATCACATAGTGCTTCACAATAAAGAGAAAGAAAATGAAAAAGAATGGAAATACAACAAATAACAATGTAAAACAGTAAAAGACAACATAAAACAACAAATTAGTTGAAATCTTGTCTTCAGCTGCCTTTTAAAAGAATCAATGGAGTCTGTACAGCGTAAAACCAGTGGAAGAGAATCCCACAACCTTGGTGCCACTGCCTGAAAGGCCCTATCTCCATGAGTTTTAAATCCAGCGTGTGGGGCCACCAGCAGTCTCTGAGCTGATGACCTTAGAGCTTGGAAAGATGAATGTGGTTTCAGCAGGTCAGATATATACTGGGGAGCTTGACCATGTAGGGCCCTAAAAGGTTAAAACTGAAATTTTAAAATGAAACCTAAAACTTATGGGCAACCAGTGAAGGGAGGCCAAAACTGGAGTGATATGAGATCTTCTGTTGGTGCCTGTTAAGAGTCGTGCTGCAGCATTCTGCACAGTCTGAAGACTATGCAAAGCCAATTTGTTAAAACCAGTAAAAAGACCAATGCAGTAATCCAAACGGGAAGTCGTTTATGCTGAAGAACTGAATCATTTAAAAATGTAATATGTACATTATATATTTATATGCACATGTATATATTTATATATTTGTTTATTTTTTCTCATCTACTCACTGGCATCGTAAAGACAAAAATCAAAATTGTTGTATAAAACATAAACCTGTAGGATCCTGCAGGATAAGCCTAATTTGAAAAAAAAAAAAAAAGAAGAAAGTTATGTGCTGAAAGTTATGGTCTGATTATACCAGCACCAGCACATATGCAAACAGGAGTTTTGAGCTCTGTAAATTGGTATACCTCTCCAAGTTTATGTGGCAATGCTGCAGGGCAATTCCAAACTAATAACTGACAGTTATTCTTTGAAATTATTTGGATGTGAGGATGACGGGGATTTAGCCAGTTGAATGCTTGTTTGGGTGCCACAATGTCTTGAGTCAGTCTCATTATACACCTCAATATTCAAATCAATATAAAGTTCTTGTAATTTAAGAGTAGTATTTTCTTGAATTTATATTAAGTTTTGTACTGTCCTGAAGATAACTGGTTTGGCTAATGGTGCCTTTATGAATACCAAATCACAGAAAGAGTCGAAACAACAAAAATTTGTAACTGTGTAATCCAAATAAAGTTTTTTGTAAACATTCTTTAAAACGTGTTTTAATTTGAAAGGCACAACCGGAAGCGCTCCTCTGTGCCGAGCCTGCTCCTCTTGCTACTTTCTCGCTCTCAGGAGCAAAAGCTGGTTGGTCAAAGTCCGTCACTTCAAACCACTCCCTTGAGTCGTGGACCGAAACAGTCTTGTTTTAGGCTAGAAGTCAATCCTCGGAGTAACTTTTAACTCGCCAATTGAGAGTTGAAAAGCCAATAAAGCTGTCGTTAATTGTATTCGGCGAAAGGTTTGACTCTCGGAAATCTTCTAGAAACTTTTCGGACTCGAAACCTTGAGGCACAGACATCATGGTGTTAAAGTCGGAAGACGGCGTAGGTGAGTGAGCTACTCAGGGAGAGACGTTTTACTTCGTGTGAAAGTAATTTAAATGGCACCACACGGCCTTTAAAATATACATATATATATCAGCGATAATAACTTGACGGTATGAAAATGGAAAATCTCAGTGGACTGTAACTGTCCTTGGCCTTGTTGACATTGTTTATTCTCCTATTGTTGCTTTGCTGCTTGTGTAAGCGCGGCACTTTTCTGAGCCTTATATAGCAAAAAAAAAAGGACAAATAAAAAATATGTATACACAATCATTTGGGTTTTTTTTTTAAAGTCTATTTTTGTTTATCCATATCATATTGACTGATCCTTGTCTACAAAATTCAGCACATTACCACATATTTGTACACTAAATCAAAGAGCTGGCTGTATTTTCACATTTAGTTTTGAGCAGTGCTGGTGTCAACATTATCAAGCACTTTAGTAGTAACACTCTGTAGACTTAATGCAGACTCTAACACGGTCAGAGTAAATATCGTCGGTGTCATTTTTCACTGAATACTCAGCAACAGGTGTGAGAGCAGACCGCGCACTCCTCCAGCAAGCTTTACATGAGTCATACTTCATCATTCCAGCCTTTGGATGGGCCACCTTTAGTTGAAATTATGCCAGAGAAGCCTTGCTAACTGTTGCAAATTACATTTGTGGCTGTAATTCCTTTACATCAGTTTGATGATGTGCAGTCATAATGAGCCAGTGTGCAACCTTTGGTGTGAGACAGAAAGCCTTTGTTGCTGAGCATCATTCTTTCATCTTTTCTCTTTGACTTGGTTAGCCTGGCAGCATTAATCAGGAACTTTGCCTTGCGTCACTAATAATCCTGTTAGAGAACAGTGGCTGATCCTGTTATATGCTGCTGCTCCTTTATTGTTCTTGGGAACTTGCACACTTTGCCCCCCTCTCTCTTTTCCTTCCATAGCCTTGGCTGAACCTGGCTGGCACACACAGCTGCATTGTTTTTTGGAGGCAGCGAGGTGAGAGAGAGGTCCATTCGATTCCTTTTGAGTCCATTTGTCTCTGCCACTTAGCGGTGGGTGGTCTGGGAAATTAAAGTAGTTGTCACTAATGGTTCCCTAATGAGTGGCGCTGAGAGCTCTAATGGGGCCTCTGGTACAGTGTACCCTCCCTGGCACTAATGCCCCCGTGGTTTGATAATCGTCATCATCTCGCCATAATCATATTTTAGCTCTCTTTCTGCATGAGTTGCAGCGCTCCTTTCCACTCAGACCATCGTTCACTCTGCGTTGTTGGTGCTGAAATGGAAAATGTGTTTAGAGCAGAGAGCACTAGTGAGGTGTTGTTGAAAGTCTGTTTGGTAGCTCAGCAGCACTTGGTTGGCTGTTTTCGCTGATGTTGATAGTGATCTCGCAACTGAAAGAGGAGAGAAAATGAAGGGTGTGCAGATTTAAAACTATGACCTGTCACATGAATATTGCAATGGTTTCATGAGAGTCTGTGCTGAACAAACTTTTTTTTTCTTTCTAATTAGTCAAGGCGGGGGGGAGTTTGTTTTGGATTGTCATTTACCTGCATTGTTATTATGGTCAACTACAACTGACTTTCTATTTAGTACTGGGCTTGGTCTTCATGTGACATCATGTGACGCACATCATGATTTCGTAACGTCACGATGGCGAGCTATGATTAGTTGGGGAAGTCTGTCATGTCTTGCGGTCAGGTCATTATTATAATCCCAGATAAATGAAGTCCAAGTCTTTCTGGCCAAGCATTTCAGCTATCGTAGTTTACATTTATTAATCATAAATTGAGCTCCTTTTAAAAAATTTCGCAGATTAATCAAGAAAAGTATTGTGTTCTTGTCCACATTTCGTGACATCTTGTCATGATGCTGAGAGTGCAGATAAGGGTGTAGCAAGACTTGAACTGCTGTTTTCACTTCCTTCTCGGTTTCTCAGAAAGAAATGTGTCAAGTTCTCTTTTTTTTTCCCTTTATTCTTTCTCTAGGAGTGGAAATCACACTGCAATCTCAAAGCTTAGCAGTTTGTTATTCCTCGCCTCTCTCAAAGTTACTGACTTTTAGTGACACTCAGCTTCGTCTGCAACAGGTAGAGACATGCCTGGAGTTGCTGTCTTATTACGGGAAGGGGAGGAAAAAAAAGTCTGACTTCTGCTGGTAATGTGAAAGAATCCAAAATGGCGGCTGGGAGGAACTTCTTGATAGATGCCTTTTTAAAGGAGTATGCTGATTTGCCAATCAAGCAGCTGTGCAGCAGCTCAGGGTTTGAGCTGTGCATACTTGGTCTACTCCTGGTGTTTCTCCACTGTTCAGAGCACAGTGAACCAATGCCTATTTTATTCCCTTCCCAACAGGATGGGAGGGTTTCGCCGCAGTTTTCACTCCTCCGCCGATCTGTTAGAGCAGCTCCCAAACAGGAAACTAAGGGTTTGATGATATGCTTGGCAGGAAGAGGCATCCTACAATTTGTGTGATGGGTCCATTTTTTCACTCTTCTACAGCAGAAAAAGCAACATTGAGGCAAAAATAAAGGTGCTAAAAGATAAAGATTTTTGGCTCTTCCAGCTTTTCCACCACATGTTTTTCAGAACGTGTGTGTTATACTGGGAAGGCAGGATGTTGTTAGTGGGAAAGCCCTGATTAGAATCAAGGCTAACGGCATCAGAGGACAAAGGCATGTATTGTGGGAAGAAATAGCACTTCCGCTTTTGAGGGAAAACACAGAGTTGCCTCCTCGGTTGCTTCTAAAAACAAGTTAATGTCAATAAAACAGAGCAGGGATTATGTAAAAAAAGCTCATCTTTTGTGTTTGCTACCGTGGATTATGTCTATGTATGTGCATGCAGCTGCTATGCTGCTGTTGGGCACTCTGCATGTTTGCTTTACACTGAATCTGACGCTGACACAGTGTGTAGGGTGGCAGGCCTTGCTATACATTCTTCAGGCTCAGTTCCCACCCCCTCACATCCTCGGGTCTCTACATTCCTGCACAGCAGCGTCAACAAAGCTAGCCAACCCACTGTGAACTATGTCTGGGCTGTCAGGGGAGTGACGGGGTCGTTTCTGTTTGACCAGTCTTCTTTTGCGATGGCATCGACTTTTTAATGTGCCTTTTTAAAGGGTGTAAAACATCTTCTCTTAACACAAAAACTCACACAAACACAAAATGCTTTGCACTTTCACCTGTTGAGAGTTCTGGAAGACAACCAAGTTGGACTACATGAGAGGGGAAAAATCCACTGAAAAGTGAAACTAGTGCTCCTCCTTAAAGTGGCATTCCTTCTAATAAACGTCAGGGTGTCCTCTGATTGCAAAACAAACCCCAGATGCAGAGAAGTCCATGAGATGATGTTTCCTCAGATCACTTGTCTGTGACCTAATTAAGCCCTTTCCTCATGTATTTATGGGCACAGTCACTATTTTCAAGTATATTAGAACAATATGGTGTGTATGTATTAAATTATTTCCCCATTAATGTCAAGAATGTTGATAAAGCAGCATATGCTTCAGGGCAGACTTTTGTCAAGTTTCCATTGGCTTCACCACAGGACTTCAGTGACCAGTAGGTGACATCTGAAGCCCCTCAAATTTAGAATTTTATTTAAAATCAATACTGATGTTTTTAGGAATTTAATAATAATAATAATGAGATTGGCACTGATGGCACAAGCAGAAGAAAGGGATCTGTCAGTCTTATTGCTTTCTCAAATCACTTTACATTTGTATTGCATTATGTTTTATTGGAACATTCATTAGGAGAATAACACCTTTGACTCTCCAACATAGATCATTGTAATCCTGAGGCATGCTACAAGTGAATTTACTGTTGCTATTCCATTCTTGTCTAAGATGGGATTATGTGAAAAATGGGTGTAACTTCACCAGCACATGGATCCCATCCTGACAGCTATCAGAAGAAGCTCAGTCACTTCGAGGCTGCAGAGTGCACTCAGCACGGCAGAGGGCTCCAGGATGACTCATTCGTCTTTATACAGACATCAGACAAGCGCTCATGTCTGATCTGTGCTGCAGACGTACCCGGGGCAAGTGTACACTCATACTGTAAAAACACACACAGTGAGGAGCAGTGCTGAGAACCATTCTCTTAAAAGATCATTAGACTCAGGATAATACTCATGGCCTAGACTTAACAATAAACACATACTCGCCTCCAGCACAGAGTCCGTTGTTAAAGTGGAGTTTGGAGGTGGTAATTTTGGCTGCATGACTGGTCAGGAGAATGAAGAACTGGCTTGAATTGCTTACTCACAACACCAGCTCATAGTAGAATATATCATCGCTGTCTCTGTGGGAGATGACGGCAGAGGAGGAACCAATCATCATGTAGTTATTTGGTAATTTAACTATTAATCATCATTACGAACATAAGACGGGCTGGATTTTTTCTTTTTCAGTCTTATGGTTCTGGGCTTTTTAATTTCATCATTCCCGATACAAATAGGGCAAATTTCCACACTTAAAAAATCTGAAATGGGGGGGAGTAATTGGATTACTACCTGAAAAGTATTTCATCCTCTAACTAGGACTCAGTATGTTGAGTTATAAGCATGGGTTGAACGTATGCCTACAGGTGTGTATGCAGCATATTTTTGGGAGAAGGGGCAGCAGCTAAAGGAATGACCACCGGGTGGAGCCACCATGTTCGTTGTGGAGACAGGAAAGCATGTGGAGAGAGAGAGAGAGAAAGAGGGAGGGCGAGGAGGTGGTGAGCTAGTGAGTAATGCTCCTTCCCAAATGGACTGTATCAGTGGCTGTGTGCCTTAAGCTGGCTGGCAGCTGATAGTTGTGCTGAGGAAATCAGGCAGTGTCTCTCTCCCTGTCCGGAGGAGCAGGACTCTTCCTTCTGTCACTTGACGTGTGGATGTTTTGAATTGCCAGAATTAAGCGGTAGAATCTGACAGGAGCCAGGGCTGGTGAGCCTGTTTGTGTACAACAAGGTGGAGTGAAGAAGTGGAGTTCTTCAGAAACCCAGAAAAGTAACACTTTGGAGATTTTCTTGTTCAGGTTAGCACCAAATCTTGATGATGCTTCTGTGTTTAGCTGATTAATTAATTGCAAGGCTGAATCAGATAGTCAAGATAGTCAAGCAACAGCACAATGATGTGCTGTTGCTTGCTGTCATGTTGCTGTCATGTGGGACTTTGGTCAGGTTTCATTGAGTCTGTGCCTGCAGTTGCCCTTTGACAGTTTTGAGGGTAAAATCAATGAAGGTGGAAAAAATGCATGCTTTATAAATAAACTGCTGGGAGATGATTCATATATATGAATATTTATGTGTTTTAAATCTCCTGGCTGGCCTGTTGTGTTGACTGTATACAAGAGCTGGAGCCCCAAAACTGGGTAACAGAGTGATGTCAGCAGTGGTGAGTTTGTTGGTATGAATGAAGCCCTTTTGATGACGGATGTATGTAGAAGTTGGACTTAAACACCACATCATCAGGGGTCTGTATGGAGCACATGGGATAGGTCCATTCAACAAAATTGACAAGGATCAAGCTGGTAAAAGTAAAGGCGATTCCTTATCATCAGCCCATGTGTTTGGGCCTTATTAAGGAATGAAGCTACTTGTCGACACAAAGAGAGAGCTGTGATCATCCCACCTCTCTTCTCACAGTTTCTGTGTTCTTCTGCCATTTGCTGTCCCACGCTTCCCTGGCTAAACACAGGGCTTCTTCTCCTGTTGTCTCTCCTCTGCCAGTCCCCCTTCACATTTCATACCAACAGGTCAGAATGAATGGATTTGGGCCTTTTTCTTCTTATTAATCCATAACTGGTGGTCCTTTTCAGTCCGGTGTGTGGATTCTGTTTCTTTGTGTGCTCTAGAGGAGGAGGTCAGAGATGAATGATTTTTTTTCTCCTTTTGGTGACCACATTCAAAACGGCCTTAGCTTTGTTGCCTTTGATCTGCTTTGTTATAGAATGTCTATTCCTGTGTGTGTGTGTGTGTGTGTGTGTGCTTTTAGATATAAATGAGAGAGGGTACCCGTGGGATTTGCTAAAGTAATGAGATTCAGTCTGAGATATGTGGATGAGATAGTCACATTTTAAATCACTTTCTGTTTAAGCAGACAACAGCAAGAATCAGAAAGCTTAGAGTTATTTATTAGATTGAAAATCAGCACCATAATCGATTGTGTGTGTCCTGTGCTGAATTAATTAAACCTTATCAAGAAGTGGACTGCTTCTTTTGACCATTTGTGCTCTTATTGGTATTGGCTAGGGGTCAATTGATTGGAGCCTACGTGGCTCTTGAGGCCAGTGGCCAGGTTTTAAAGGGAGGATTGTCAGTGTAAACATAAGGTCAAATGTTGAACAGCAGCAACAGAAACCTGATGGAATGGGGGGAGAGGAGCAGGTAGATGTTGACTCGAGAAAACTGATGCTCTCAGTTCAAATGAGATCGGCTGGAATAAGAAGGGAGTGCAATGCCTAGATAGGAGTTGGTCAGACCAGAAGGATGGTGCATGAAGGAGAAAACCTGCAGACACAAACAACAACAAAACAACAACAAAACCTTGTGCAAAGAATGATTGCTGCTGACAGTGTCATTTGTTTACCTCCATCACTGTGTGCACTTCATCAAAATAAAAACAGCGATCTGTGTGTGTCTTCGCATATTCCCTCACTCAGCAAATTGTAGGTGTAAATATATTCCTGACGTCTTCATCTGCTGCTGTAAAACACCAATACACATCTGTCTACTAAACTGTCATTTTACTATAAAGATCGCTCAGCATTAGTTTCTTCCTTACATGCAATACGTACGTATGTCTAGTATCTGTGTTGCTGGAGCAGCCTGAGTAAGGAAATTACCTAGTTAATAATTTTTTTCTCTTGGTCCTTGTGTGCTTGGAGGAGCTCCCTAAATTGGGTCACATCAGCAGGGAGGGGGAGCTAAAAGATCTTACGAGCACTCGGAATTCTAATTTCCGTATTTTCCAAGGAGAGTTCTTCAGTGATCTGGGTGGAAATGAGACGTCTGCTTCTTTTGCCAGGATGGCAATCAGGATGAGTATTAGTGGCTTCTGCTGCCCTGGGAGAGTGATCTATAATTGGTATCTCTCTTGATGCCACCTCCCTGGTGCGCTCTGCTGACCCAGCCTTCACTAAAAAAAATGCTTCACCCATCTAGGAAGTCTGCACTCTTAGATTAAAAAAGTAAGGGTGCACCGAGACAAGGTATTATTCTTATACCTGGTTTAGGGCTCAAATGAAGCTTTGGGGAAACTAAAAAAAAACCCAACTTCTTAAGCACTTTACCTAAAGTACAGAATGTATTTGACAAGAAGTGGGATGTACCAGTTCAGGAGTAAGTGCCATGATTATTCTTGCAGAGTGCATTGAGTGTTTCAAGTCATACATTTGGGTTGAACTGCACCCAGGAGTAATGAGGGCCAGGCCACTGCAGGACAGAGCTCTGATTGTAATATGCCAGATTTAGCAAAAGAGCACTTATGTCAGTACCATTAACCAATTGCTTCACACTGTCATCTTTTTCAGCAAGGTATATAAATGGAACGCATTATCTTTGGTTTAAAATAAAATAAATTTAGTACTTTGTAATACTGACCTCTGAATAGAGGTGAACACACTTTGGGAGTGACAGTTTCGTAATGATGTGCTGGAAATGACAGTCAGATGGTGTTAGTGCTGTAAAATGAAACAAAAAGCAAGTTGCAAGAGTGCTGATCATTAGTTTATATGTGGGTGTGCAAGTCCATGTTACTTTTCCCTGGTCTCTCTGCATGACGGCACAATGTGCAAACACGCCCCCATGTGCGTTTGCATGTAATTCCCCTAGATGACTTATTTTTCACGCATTGCAATTCCGAAAGCAGTGAGATGTGGGCGTCATGTGTTTTACTTGTGAAACAGTCTGTGGAGTCTGTGGTCATCACAGGTTCGACCCTGCCCTTTTTGCATGTGAGAGAGTAAGAATTCAGACAGATGAGGAGGCGTGGTGTGCGTGGAAGGAAATGCCTAATTTATCCCTTTTCTATAATATTGTAATGCCAACGATAAAATATGGATAGTAGGTGGTTATCACAAAGTATCTTTTAATAAGACCATTTATTTTCATTGTTCCAAAAACAAATAGTCCCTTCATTCTTCCTCTACCCTCTCTGACTCTCTTTTTAACGTCCTGCCTATTTCTGATGACAGCCACATTTCATCGGCTGTGTCAGTGCAGAGGTTTGCTGAATGCGAGCCAAGCAGTGCTCCAAGCATTTTCTTAAGTTGATGAACTCCTTCTTCATCTGCTGGTTTCTGGGAAATTACACCCACTTGGTGCCCACCTCTGAAGCAAGCATGTTTAGGGCCTTTCCCTGCTGTGCTGTGGTTATGGTTATTTTGGGTGGAGCAAGGAAAGCATCGATGGTTTCAACCACGTTGCTCCGTGATCATGCGGATTCAGATGACATGTCGGGATGCAGTGTACGTTTTGATTGCAGGATCTGGGTGCCATCGTGCATCTGTCATATGGATTTTGCACAAACTATTTTTATGTGCTCTCAAAAGAGGAAAGTGTATAAACAGTTTCCTTCCTTAAAATTATTAGTTTGCTAATTTTTTCAGTTTTCTCCTTGGAGTGAAATTATAGTCCTGTATGCAGCTCTTCTCTAATGTCAGTCCTCCTCTAAGGCCTGGAGCAATGTGGCTGTTTCATATTGGGACCTGCTGTCCTGTGCTGTGTCCTGTTCATTTTTTTTTTAGGGTCTGCCAGGCCCCCTATCTGACATTGTGTTTCTAGAAAGACAATTGAATTTTCGTCTTTGAGATCATCCTCCCTGTTGTTATTTTTTTAGGCTGTTGAACACAAGGCCCTGCTCTGGATTTCATCATTGTGACACTAACTCATCCAGGCAATCAGGAGATAAGGTCATTAAATGCAAGGAGGGCCATATATTCTCAGACCTATCACCACTTTGTTTGTGTATTAGGTGGTGCCTTCTTGTGCATCTGCGAGGAGGAATTGTGACCAGATTTTTTTAAAAATGCACATATATATTTGGGTTTGTGTCTTTGCTCAGTATCATCCTGTCAGCTCCCGCTTATAAACAAAATTTATTCAGACCCCACTGTGACTTTATATAGCAGAACGCTCGGTATGTATATGGCCGGTATGCCAGAATTACTTAAGGTGTCGAGGTTTGATGTGTGAAAGGTCAGCTTCATGTGGACTCCCATTTTCCCCCAGCTGTCTGAAAGCAAAACAGGAAGACAGCATGGCATTGTTTTGGTGCTCCTTCAGTCTGCTCTAAAGCAGTCCCTGTTTTTTAACTTCCATTGTCTATTATCCCTGTGTTAAATATTATCAGAAATTCTGGGAAATGCCATAGTTATTTACCCCAATGTCTTTAGGTTTACTTGCTTCTCTTATTAAAATAAGCATCCTCAGTTATACAGATTTCTTTCTGCTGGTTATATATTTAAAGTTGGATTTTTTTTTCCTTCTTTTTTTGCTTTTTGTATGTTTGTGTCTCGTCATTTATGAGTGACGTGCTTAGGATAATTTCTGAATGTCAGTTGTATCCTTCGATTGCTTGCTTCTCTTTTTTTTTTTTTTTTAACCATCATCATTCCACTAACACTTTTACATGTGGTACACTGTGTGTTACCCAGTCTCATTGAATCAAGAATTTTACCTCTACAGTTATGTTGAGTCCTCTGTCCTCAGCTTTCGTCTCTTTATATCTGTTACTTTGTTAACTGCTGAAGACTGACTGAGATCCATAGAGTCATCCAACCTTTGACCCCCTTTAACCTTTAAACTCTGCTGAGGAAATGAAACGAGGAGGTTACAGAACAGATCTTGTGCTGAGCCACTGCATGAACTGGAGAAATGGCCTCGCATGCCAAATAATGTATCTTCTGTCTTTTTAATGCAAGTATTTAAAGGCAGCTGATTATCAAGCAACACTTTACAGCAGAGCAGACAGAGTTTTTGGGCACACACCTTTTTCTTGGAAAAAATTTTAATTATGAGAGAAGCCACTGAAACAATTTGAATAGCAACGTCAACATCAATGTCTTATTTGTTTTATATTGAAATGTCATTATGTGTTGTTTCCCATCGGGAATCTACCTTACGAACAATGCAGATTAATGACATTTACTACTACTACTACACTTTGTGACTACTTCCCTTACTCCATACCATTAGTTTTTGTTATTTTACATGGTATAGCATACATTTTGTTTATCAAGTAAACCAGTTAATCAATACTTGTTTTTAGAAATTGACTATGTTAAATATATAAATTACACAAACACACAAGATGCAGCTAAGTCATTATTAGCATATTTTTAAAGTTATGCTTGGTCTTAATAGGGCTGCTGACAGAATAACCTGATTGCTTTATTAGGAAACTGTCACTGTTTTTTTTTTTTAAAGAGAAAATGTAAACTTTCTTGTTCAAATGTAAAGCAAATGAAACTCACTGTTTGGAGTGCTGCTGTGCTTACAGTGCTCTGTGTCCACGCATCTAGTTTTCGCTCAAGTGGACAAGCAGGCACGTTGTCCATCAAACAGGCTAATAATAACTAAGGTGTGAGTGACAGGAGGACTGTCAGCACTTTGATACCTGTCACATTTGTGCTTCTTATGCACTGATGCTCAGTGCTGATTGGCTGATCAGACATTTTTTTTTAAAAAATTGTAGTTCCACAATAGCTGATTTCCTGTTTGATCCGCATGTGACCGCTGCTGATTAGGTCACTCTGTTGGTGTAGGTGTTTTGAACTCTTTAGTGTTTGTAATGCAAAGGCTTATTTGAGCCATCACTAACACTTTAACAAAGAAGGACTTTCACTGTATTGTCTTACGACTTACGGTAGCCCCTGCAGTTGAAAATGTCTTCTCATAAATCACCGCTGGTTTTCATTGTTCCTCGTACCATCTTCCACATTCCTTGCTATGTGTGTAATCACTTTTTGGAATGTTGAAGAAATGCTTCAGGGACATTTATTTATAGAAAATGGCAGGGATTGTGCTGCATAGTGGACGTGCACATGGTCATCTATGCATGCTGACAACTTGCCATTATTGTATTGTTTCTTTTCCTTGTGGAGGACTGATGCACATTCAGGGCACTTGTATTGTGTCTGTGCAGGCACGTCTGCATGGTATGCCTCTGTCTGCATACAGCCTTATGTACACACTTGGATCATGACTTTGCTGTTACTTTAACCCTAGTGGATCATTACCAGCCCTCACACACTGGGACAGTATTTCACTGGTTATTCTAACCCTTCATCTTCTTTCTCTTGTGTCTCTAGTGCCGGACGACCTCACTCCAGAGGAGCAGCAGGAGCTGGAGAATATCCGCCGGCGTAAGCAAGAACTGCTGGAGGACATTCAGGTAATCCTAGAGGAGGATATGTAGGCAGCGTCAAAAGAGACTCTTTTAATGTTAGTAAGGAAATTGGATGTCGTTTTTATTGTTCATTTATTGAAAGTGTTAACATTTTAACATTTTCTTTTATCTGCCAGTTTAGTGTTTTATCTTTCAAGGATAGAAACTCCTTCAGCAGCATTCTTAACTCATGCTTGAAAACCTTGGTATTCAAACAGAGAGATTTGCGTTCACTCTGGGGAAATCAGGTGACAGAGAAGGCAAAAAACATCAACCATCCTGACCATGTGCTGTCATCTGAGTTCAGGAAGTTGTTTTCTGCTCGTCACTACCTTATACCCCAAGTGTAGAACAAATGGATCCTTCATTCCCTCAGTTATTAGATCATCAAACCTGAACAGGGTTTATTTTAGTTTCATTATTTTCTGGCGTTGTTCGTTTTTAGACTTGTCCTTTTTATTCTTTTTATTTATTTATTTTTATCCTGATTGTTTGTTGATGTGTGCTAACAGTGCAACAGTGTTTGTGACCACAGCTTAAAGACTGTATGTTGTGTGACTAGGTTGAGTGGGTAAGCTTCCCTTCTTGGGGATAAATAAAGTTATCTTAATCTCAATCTGACAAAAACGGCTCCACACACAGATAAAAGGTGATTATGTTCTTATGACTGCACGTTTGCAGGAAGCTAGTAGCATATCCCTCCTGATTTACAAGCAGAGCCAGGATTCAAAGCAGCTCTGCTGAATTTCCATAAAGTGGTTTATTTGATTCCTGTCCATGGCCCACGATGATGTTTGTTGGCTTCAAACTTGAGACCAGGGCATAGCTCGTGAATCTAGCTCTATCTGTAGGTCAGTCCTCTCACTCAGTAAGCAGCGATAATAAGCGAATAGCTCGCAACAAAGGTGAGAGACTGTCATGCCCTGAAATGAATTATGATGGTGTCCTGAATTCCCAGTGGGCGAATTGGCTTCTGCTGACCCCAGTGGATGTTTGAGGTGTGATCTGTCACCCTTTCTTTTATGAGCTTAGGCCACCATCACTGCCCTTCCCCCTCTATGGCTGCCGCCGCTGCCCCTATCCTGTCCTCGTCTCTTTCTCGGTGCTCTGCACACTGACCCCTCTCCTCCTCACTGGCTCCCACACTCTCCTCTGCTGGCCCCGCATGTGAAGGCCTCAGCACCACACCCACTCTACTTTCTGTATGAGCACAGCCTTTGTTTGTGCAGATAAGCATCTGAGGAATGCGTTGTGATTGCGCAGGCCTTGAATGGACAGATGTTGTCTTTGTGGTTTCACAGTTGGTAAGTTGGCATTGTGTACAAGAAATATTGCATTGTCACGCATGGTGAAGGAAGAGGCTTGATGATTACTGTTAGCAGGCAAACGAGATCTATATTTGACTTCTCTTATGCTACTGTCTGTTCTCCCATGCTTTGATCAAGCTGATCTCATCCTCTGCATCATCTGCCTTTACTGTGCCAGTCTGGCACCAGCAGGTCTGGCAACTAAATCTGCCTCTGAGGCCATTAATCGGTAAAATACCACACAAAATATAATCCTTTTCCATGCTTACTTACTCCATTTGTATTGAGGTTATCCCCTAATGTTTTCCGCCCAGTGAAATTCAGATTGAGAGGATTGTTTGGCTCAGACACATCCTAGCAGACTTTCTGTGAAATAGGAGCTGCTATCACTTTATAGTTTAAGGAGCATACACAGTGTTGCATGTGCAGCATTATCTGAAGAGGCCAAAAAGTGACTTTTCTCTCTTTGTTAAACTGTTTGCTCTGATGTGAGTATTTATGCAACAAAAGGCCACCTGACTTACAGACGGGGGGGGGGTTGTAAATACAAATGCTTTGCATGTTATTTGCATCGGTTATCCCTTTCCACGCCTCTTCGAGGGAAGTTGATGGACATATGTTTAACCTGTTCCTGACTCCCAACAAGGCTAATATATATATTTTTTTCCTTTGCAGCGGCTGAAGAATGAGATAGCAGAAGTTACTAGTGAAATTGAGAACCTGGGTTCCACTGAGGAGAGGTAAGAGAACTGGAGTGACTTTCCTCCCCTGCAAACACTTTTCTTTCTCTGTTGTGTCTAAGTTGCTTGCTTTCTATTAACTTAGCAAATGAAGCTGTCAATTATTCATGTTTGATGGCTAAGTTGGGCCTCCCATCTCACCAAATTGGCTATGCTTTTAAAGCCGTTTAAATGTTTCATCAGGCACACCCTCATGATGGGAGGCCTCATTGAATAATGCAGTGGGTGTTCGGGCAGAAGCAGACAATAGGTGGTCTCAGGGGAGGGAGTGCTTGGGTTTGGTCTACTCTAGTGGATAGGGATTCCATCAGCTGCTGGAAATCTCTGAAACACTCTCTCAGTGGTACCTAAAACCCCATTAGGGGTGCTTATGATCAGATATTTCTGTGATCCATTGATTGGAGATGGTACATAGTAGTTAGTGTGTGTTATTGCTCTTCACATGAGTGCTGGACTTTTGCTGACAAAAGCCAAAGGAATGCTAGTGTGAGTGAATCAGTGGGGAGAGATGGAGATGGAAATGTAACCATGGTGACTGCGGACTCTAGGATTGCACTTTGACCCTGAAATTACTCAAAGCCTGAGAAACCACACATTCCCATATCCATGCTAACCTTTAACAACTGTGTCTGACCAACACCTTGTCATCACAGTTGAGACGGAGTATGGGAAAGCTCCTGACAGACCTTTTTAAAAAGAGACAGACACTGAGATAGGTGAATTGAGCAGTAAATTGAGTGTGTTTCAGTTTATCTAAAACTCTGAGCTTCAAATTCTTGTCACTGCTTCTTATATATACTAGATCTGAAAAATACTGCTTTAGTTGATTATTATTTATTGATCAAGCATTTTTCACCATTTTCTAATATAGGTGATAGAGCCTGACAGATACCGATATTAACTGATGTATAAATTCAATATATGTATTTTATTCTTTCAAAAATACAAAAACGTAGAGATTTCCTTAACATTTGATATGTGCAGCTCTGGGTCCTTATTAACATATTACAATGCAATTTAAATCTAATTTGTTTTGTAGTCATGATTTACTCATTTAAGCCCTGCCTGATTCTCCTCAGATCAGTTGATTGTTGTTTTTGCATACAAGACTGTTGATTGATCAGTAAATAATTGCCAAATAACTGATAATGAAGTAATATCTGTTATGTCCATCATTGTCATTGTGTCACCAGGTTATCATAGTATAACTATTCTGCATTATGTTCATGTTAGTATAAATAACAACACAAACTCTCTCTTTTAAAGGAAAAATATGCAGAGGAATAAACAGGTGGCCATGGGCCGTAAGAAGTTTAACATGGACCCCAAAAAGGTAGGTAAAAAAGATACCGTGGCTCAATTAGAAATATGATTTGTTTGTTGTGGTTTTCGTAATCAGGATATAACCTGGGGTTCACTTTCTTTCTCAGGGGATCCAGTTTCTGATTGAGAATGACTTACTGAAGAATACCAGCGACGACATTGCTCAGTTCCTCTACAAAGGAGAGGGCCTCAACAAAACAGCCATCGGAGATTATCTCGGAGAGAGGTCAGAAAGAAGATTTTATCCACTCTCTCTCTAACTGTCTTCCATTCATGCTGGCCCATTATTAGTCAGCAACCATACACGTGGTTGATAAAAGTATCAAATAGAGAACACATAGTTTCCTTATTGCTGTATTTCCTCTTGGTCAAGCTCACGCCCATCCTTTCCCAAACACAGGTTATTGGTTCCACATTTAGACCTTCCTCTCAAGACAATGATCGTTACTCTAAAGCCAACATCTGTGCTTGATTATCTTACTCACAAGTAACTTGGTCAATAGACTCACAATTTTGGAATGTGTGTGTTTGAAAGCAATTGAAGATTTCACTCGAGTGAAGAGATCATCCGTGTTAGAGTGAACACATAATACAGGAAATATTGATGGGCTTAATGTACGGTATGCACTGCTCGGGGACTGTAGGGATGGCAGTGTTACAGGCAGGGTGTGGTCTGTAAGGCCATAGCGGGGACTGGAGTGCTGTTGACGTATGCTTTTTGGTTGTTATCAAGCAATCTGGTTCTGTTAGGAGGGGCTGTGGCAGCATGCTAGTCTTAAGACACGATTGGTCATTTGTCCACTTGAGATGGTGTTGAGTGGATATGACTCTGAGCTCCTTAAAGCCTTGCTGTGATCCCAGAGGGCAGATTGTTTTCTGTGAAGGGCATAAAGGTCGGGGATGATGTCATGCTCTAGTTTAGATAAGTGAAGAGGGCTGGGAAATGTGTGTGTGGTCCGTTATGTGGGGTTTGCTGGGAGCATCCATTGTATCATCACAACCTCTTGCTTATCAGATTAACACCCCCCCCCCCCCCCCCCCCCCCCATTTAATGCTAAATTTTATCAAACACATACTACCATTTTATTATTCTAAGACTTATTAACAGAATATAATATGGACATTTTCACTGACAGGACAATTTGCCCTTTTTTTATCTACCTTAGAGATGATTTCAATATCAAAGTACTCCAAGCCTTTGTGGAGCTTCATGAGTTCACAGACCTCAACCTGGTTCAGGCGTTAAGGTAAGATATCCTCCTAACATCTGTTACACACGCGGCTGACTCCTCATACTGTTGCTTCCTTGCAGGTTTATGTAAATCACCTGCACTAACATCAGTTTTCACGAACAGCCTCATTTGCGGTTTGTAAGGATGCAGCTGCCAGTTTCAGTCTCGAGGAGGAAAAGAAAAGGAAATAAATAAATAAATTCTTTGACACTTGAAGGAAGTCTGTTGCTCACTGCAGAGTTGTGTCCCTTGACAGACAGTTCCTATGGAGCTTTCGGCTGCCGGGAGAAGCCCAGAAGATCGACCGCATGATGGAAACCTTTGCTCAGCGCTACTGCCATTGCAACCCTGGTGTTTTCCAGTCTACAGGTATAGCCGTCGTGTCTTCTAGCCCAGCTTTTAGTGCTGTCATAAAAACAGAAATAACCATAAATGTTAGAGCAGTGAAACAGAACAAAATGACTTCACTTCATACTTTCTCCTAATAAAATATCTTAATACAGATTTAGATGTTAAACTTGGCCTGTTGAATAGATCATTATCTGCCAACGGAGTTGGTGAATGTAAATTTCCTCAAATGTCTTCTGTGTTACCCTGATTAAATGGACTGGCTCTTATGTAGTACCTTTCTACTCTTCTTGAGCACTCATTCATTCATACTTTCACTTATTTCTGCATATAAGGGCTTTCTATTTAACATTCACAGTATGATAAACAGGAGCAATTTGAGGTTCAGCATCATGCACAAGGATGCTTTGACGTGTGGACTAGAGCAGCCTGGGATCCAACCATTCATCTTTCAATAAGTAGACGATTTGCACTACTCCTGAGCCACAGCAACCCCAATTAATCAGTAGTATCTCTTTAAACTCATACCTTTTCATGTTGAGCTGCAATCCAGTGACAGGTCAATGGAAGTAATGTAAAAGCTGGATCATTTAGCAGACACAAAGTCTGTTGTGGTGAACTGTGTCAGGAAGTGTCTGGCTTTTGGGAAATAATGACACTAGCAGACAGACAACTCCATCCAGTATGGATGCTGGTGGATGTAAATAATGCACGGGACTGCCTTAACAGGTTTTTATAAAGTGCTGCTGTTTCAGCCATGTGCTTCGCCTCAATGTCTTTTAGCTTATGCATGTATACACACTCATACATTAGACAGCACATGCATACTTGGCTGCCCACATGCAGTCCTCCTCTCCTGCCCACTCTGCGCCCTAATGAAGCTACATCTGCCTTTTTCCTCCCAGTTTGACTGCAGTCCCCTAAGTGCGGTCCTTTCAGCTCGACTAATTTACATTCATATTTAAACGCAACATTAAACACCCACACCATTTTTATGGTAAACGGCAACCTTTCACTGCCTTTCAAACCTCACCCCCTCTCATAGTGCGATCCCACTTTTGTTTTGTTTGGGTTTTTTTCTTACAGACACATGCTACATTCTGTCATTCGCCATCATCATGCTAAACACCAGCCTCCACAATCCAAATGTAAAGGACAAGCCGACCGTGGAACGGTTTATCTCCATGAACAGAGGCATAAACGATGGAGGTGACTTGCCTGAAGATCTGCTCAGGGTGGGTAGCCCTTCCCAAACTTTGTTTCCTGAAATCGCCCTTCTTTCCTTAATCTCACACATTCTTTACTCTTTGTTTTAGAATTTGTATGAGAGCATCAAGAACGAGCCTTTCAAAATACCAGAAGACGACGGCAATGACCTCACACACACTTTCTTCAACCCGGACAGAGAGGGCTGGCTGCTAAAACTGGGTGAGTGTGTACACAGCTACACGAGAACATAGAGAGGCTATTTTCACCCTCATGACTGCTCCCATAGATGACTTTGTTGTGTCATTAAAGCTGCACATATTTTTGCATAACCCGATAACCAGTGTCTCCCCTGAGGTAAATAGCCTCTGAGTGTGCGTGCGTGTGGGTGTGTGTTAAAGGTTACTGTGAGCACACACGAATGGCTAGAGACACGTCTCCCCGCTTTAATGTATTATAAATGTGGTCTTGAGATCAGACCACCACATGTGGAGATCTTTGAATTATTTACGATGATGCATATGGACACGCCTGACATGCACACAAATACTGCGTTTCAAAACTTGTAAATCAAGTCAACACACACACACACACACACACACACACACACACACACACACACACACACACACACACACACACACACACACACACACACACACAAAACACACTCTGAAGTTCAGACATTTTCAGGAAGCTGTTCTCATTTTCTGTGCATTTTATAACTGAATTTGATATTTGAGATGTGTAGATTGGGACAATCTGAAAATGTTAGTGACATTTCTATGGCCTCTTTGTCCCTCATGTGTAAATCAACTGTATAGTTTGACATAAGCAAAGGCATAACCTGTATCATTAGAAATGTTTACAGGATGGTAACGAACCTTTCAGTGGTCACATTCAAATCACTCCTGGATGCCAATTCTTCATCTTCTGTTTCCTCTGACATATCTCTCTCTGTTGTATAAATTCACAAAAGAATGCATGAATGTATAGAGTGAAGACCTTCAGTCACTGTGAATCTTTACAACAGACTGTACTAAGGGAGTCAGAAATCATCTCTTTCCAATTACTCCTAAATGGCAGATTTGAGTAAAATAATCAGGGTGGAAGGTCAAAAAATTACCTGATATAATAAGGTGAGAACCCAGTGAGGGATATATTTCATGTAGTGCTTCACAGTAGCTTTCTTAAGTCCACATAGACTAGATCGCCCTCTTGTGGATTGGCTTGATATCAGCAGATGGGAAAGTTTGCTGATGGCGAAAGCTGTGAAGCAGTGCATTGAAGCCTCACTGCGACCAGATTAAAAGGACTGTGGTGGTATATTTCTTTATCATTTAATTTGATTATTTTTGTTTTCTTTTCCTCTTCGTTTGTTTGTTTGTTCCCATGATTTTGGCTGTTGTCTTTCCTCAGGAGGTATGTACACCTGCTCTTCCCCAACGCTAGTCCGTCTCTCAGCTCTCAGGTGCTTTCGGTGGCCTGCCATGCTTTCGTTCTCTTCCTCGTTTATTACATTCATACAGAGTTATTTTGTGTGTAGAGTTTTTTTGTTTTTTTTTGTCTCCTCATTGACTCATTTGAACTTCAGATGTTTGTTTGTTTGTCTGTTCAGTCTCTCATGGAGCTGGTGGTTTTGTCCATGCTCTTTTATCTTTGTCGGGCAGTCGCCAGGTGCATTTGTCACCCTGTGGACTCGACTCGGGGAGCTACTGCTTTGTGACCACACTACTGAGCAATTTGGCCTTTTTTTTTTTCTCTCTTTGCACTGTGGTGGTCACTCTCTTTGATCTCCCGTTTTTTGGAAGCTGCATTATACCTTTTTTCCATACAGCGAGCGCAACAAAGGACTTAGCTTTGAAAAATTGATCATGAACCAGTGTACACATTGGAAGCTGTTGTTTGCTCTCTGATTGAATGGAAAGGGAATACTGCACCTTTTCATCAATGCAGCTTTCCTTATCTCCTTGTATAATTCCTACATGTGGATCTGAAGGTTAACATTGTGGCTCAGGTTGGTGTGGTGCTGGCCCGGACTGGACCAAGCTGTGGGAAGATGGCATGGACAGAGGAGTGTGCTGAAAGGAGCCAGACGTTGTTTTAATGATAAATTTATATATTGGTGTTAGTGGTGCATGTTTTCTTTAAATTACAAAAAAGGGGATAACTAAATTCAACTCGGGGTTTGTTAATCATCAATTGCTAATTGATCAGAATGAGAAAAATCATCCTCAAATAAACAACCACCTCTTAACCTCCTCTTGTCCAGCCTCTCACAGTCCCATCTTGCATGGGTGACTCACTCCACTCAGCCCCACTCGGGCCTTGCACCGTCCACACGCCTCTCTGCAACAATCTGCTGGGACGTCCCGCCTCGTCCCAGACATTCTTGCACAGGAGGCAGTGAACTCTTTATTTTTCTCAGAGTGACAGGAACTGACACGGCCATCAGACCAATCGCTACTTTTAGCCAACCCAATCAACTTTTAAGCCCGTCAGCTGTGTGATTCTGCCATCGCGTCTGTGCTCTCTGTCGGTCTGCTTTTGTCTTTTTTTTTTTTTTTTTGCTGTTGCAACATGCTGACGAGTCAAGGTGCGGCGAAGAGCCCTATATCTCCATTTCCGTGTGCCAGTTCAGGCGTGTCGACAGTTTCTGTAGCTACTAAACGTAGACTGAAGTGTTGTGCCTGTCATGATGTCTGTAATATGATGGGATATCATATACAGCGTGTCTGCTGCTATATGATAATACAAGTGTGTTCTACATGTCAATAGAAACATCTTCAAACCCTTGCTTTTGGTAAATGGGTTTCAAAATGCAGCTTTTTACTAACATTGGTGGTGGGAAAACCTAGTCTAGACTTGGCTTAGTAGGCTTATGACTGTCATCGTTAGAAGGACCCCTCCCCAATAACTAAATACTGTTTCTATATAGATGCAAAATTGCTTAACTAAGTCCAAACAGGATATTTAAGATTGAAATGCCTGTGGAGAGACTAAGCATAACTTCAGGCACTGAGCTTCCTGCCTCTCTCTTCGTTGGCATCCTATCCTCCCAGAGTGTGGCTGCCATCTGGTACTGCGATCATGTTTCCCCTCACAGGAAGCAGGGTGACAAAGGGGGTAAGAGTTCAGCTAGAGATCAACAAGAGCAGAGTCAAGTAATGAGCCCCTGCTGCACTTTAAAATGAAGAAGAGAACTTAATCCACAGTCCCTCCTCACTTTCTATGTTCAGCCCTTATATATGGATTTTGCAGCTTTCTAACTGTTGCCCAGTAACATACGTGGTTCATCAAGCTTAGTGAATGCAGAGCATATAGATCTGTATGCTCCCTATTGATTCTGGCTCTCTAGCCCTCTGAGTAAAATGGTGTTGAGCCAAGAGAGGAGATGCCAGTTTTTTTCAGTCATGTCAAAATATGATTGAAAAGTAGCAAACAGCTTTCAACTCAATCCCCAGATGTAAACTCTGGGTAGTTTTTATATGCATTTGTCACCTATAAGGAGTTTCTTTATCATATGAACAGTATATCAGACTGGAAAATAGCAATCAGGCCCATAAATCAACAAATACAAGCAAAATGATAAAATAGTTATTATAGCTACAAGTGGTGTGGTGATGGGGAGCACATGGCATGGACGTGGATTAGGGTGGATTGTGGGGTTCCTTAGGTAAAGGGAGTCCTCTGGAGCCGTCATCTGTCTGTCTGCTCATACATCTGTCTGCCTGTCTGCTGCTTGATACGGTGCTTTGGTGCTCGTTTCTCTTTCCATATCGCTTTCTCTTGCTGAGCATTTCTGATGCTTGCTGTGTGCTCAACAGGGGGACGAGTTAAAACTTGGAAGAGGAGGTGGTTCATCCTCACAGACAACTGTCTGTACTACTTCGAGTACACCACAGTGAGTACAGTTGTTTTTCTGTTAGAGTACCCTCCTTTGCTGTTGTTGCTCCTTCGTGCAGTGCTCTCATTTTATATTTGTGCAGGACAAAGAGCCAAGAGGAATCATCCCACTGGAGAACCTGAGTATCAAGGAGGTGGAGGACAAGAAGCCTGTACGTACAGCTCCCTCTAGTGGTTCATCTGTGGATTACCCACAGTTAGAGACTCAAAATAGCATTTTTAATCAACAGTTATTTTTAAAATAGTTATTTTTGTGGCATTGTCATTTCTAACTTAAATCATCATCACTTCTGTAGAACTGCTTTGAGCTTTTCATACCTGACAGCAAGGACCAGGTGATAAAGGCATGCAAAACTGAGGCTGACGGACGGGTCGTGGAGGGCAACCACACCTTCTACCGCATCTCAGCTCCCACAGCTGAGGAGAAAGAAGATTGGATGAAAAGCATCAAGTAATTTATATGTTTTTAATTACTAATTAAGCTACCTCTTTTGAGGTAGCTTAATTTCAGTGATGGCAGTGAATGTCACCACATGTCAAAACATGAGTTTTTGACTCTTTCTCCCATTAAAGTCAACATTTGATCTCCTGAATGATACATTTTGACAGCTCAGTTTATATAAATAAAGGTTTAGGGTTTTTCCAAGAGTAGTCCTAGTAAGCTGTATAGGCAGAAAACACCCTCACTAACTTCTGATTGAAACTCATTTGTTCTGGAGTCTGCAGTCCTTAAATGTGACAGAAACTGCTCTCTTCAGAAAATAGAAATAAGGGTTTAACACCCACAGGTGTTAAAGAGTGGAAGAGTGACCCAACCACAGAGTGAGAACAAATCAGTTTTTACCTTTCAGTTGTAAGGTGCCCTGAAATGTACAAAAACACTATTGGTGGATTCAGTGGCGGTCCTAGCCTGTTTGGCTGTAATTAAAATCTGTAGCATAATGTATTGTTTGGAGTTTAGTCTGTTACTATTTTTACCAATTCTTCTTGGAGCAACTGTAACCCACATTATTTCCTTAGGGATTAAAAAAGTATTATTCTGATTATTTCAGGATACATAACCCGCCATTATCCAATGACACATCTGCTTACCTGTATCTTTCGTTTCTCCTCCTCTTGGTTTTAATTTTGCAAATTTTTAAAAAAAAAATTTTCCCGATGCCCGTGATGCCGCCCCGGGCAACCGCCCGTGTCGCCCATATCAAAAACCGCTACTGGGTGGATTATTTTCTGCTGATATCTGTGAAAGCCATGCAAAGCAATGAAACTGCTTTTAAAGCTGCTAAATCTGAACATATTTGTGTAAAATCTTTGTCCGTTTTTCACATTTCTTTTAATTCTCCCAAAATACTTTGTTTTCAGAGGCACATATTTTTCTAAACAGATTTTGATTTCTTGTCCTCGCTCTTTCAAAAGTACAGAACAGTATATTGAGTCTGATTATGCTGACTAGCTCCTAAATGAATGAATTAAACAGAAGAAGAATTTTGCCTTCCAAATGACTTTAATTAGACTCATCCTAAGAATGTTTTTTTCCAGACAAAAAAGAGAAAAATTTGACCTTCTTGCACAGCTGAGCCGTGTCTAACATTAGTGTTTTATGAGTGCGTCAGTTTGCACATTTTATGAAATTTTGCTGACATTTTTCTCTGCTTCTGCACCCACAGAGCTGCCATCAGCAGGGACCCCTTTTACGAGATGCTGGCAGCCAGGAAGAAGAAGGTGTCATCCATGAAGAGACATTAGGGGCACTCGGCTTTTCGGACGTTGCATTTGACAGAATAAGGTGCGCGGGGTCTGTTTGCCCTTCCTGGGCCATTGCAGAGGTCATGACCAAGGTCTGCCTCTGACCTCCCCAAGGCTTTTCTCTAGGATACACAACAGGTCTGACTTTTGGACTCTGCAGGCCAGAAAACAAAAAACAGGAAAGCATGCTGGGTTTTTAGATAAGAGTCTGGGCTGAGCGCCTCCTCTAACCTCCTGTCTGAATGTGTTGCTTTCTCTCTCAGCTTTTGTATGTGCTCTGTCTATGAGACCGGAAGGGAGTGTTACTGTGCAACTCAGAGTCCCTTTTGAAGACACGTTAAAACAACACAGTTCTCATATACACTGCATACATACACAACATCACAACAAGCATACTTTCATGGAGTCCTCCCCCGTCGCACACATTGTTTTAACTCAGCAGGTCTGACCGAGTGTGGCACCCCAACCAGAATATTCCTCACTGTGTGGAAGAAAAGCAAAGATCTTTTCTGACGTGCTTTAATATGTTTTGGTAATACGTGTCTATTTTTACAGCTTTTACTGTCAAGTCCTCTCGAGCCTTTTGTTGTTTGCTTTTGTAGAATAAAATGTTCAGATAGAAGCTGTAAAGGGGCTGCTATGAGAGGGAGGGAGGGTTATAATTTGCCAACTGTTAGTGATTTTTTTTTCTTTTTTTAATAGAAAAAAGAAAACAAACTTTAAAAAAAAAAAAAAAAAGGAGAAAAAAAAGTTGCCACTCAGGAGATTGCTACCATGTTCAGAGACTTTACAGGGCGGGTTGACTTGGATCATGTAAACAACTCAAGAGATGCATTCAAAGGCACGACGGAGGCCCGGGCTGAGCTGTGTTTGTATGTGAAACTGCAGAGAAGGCGTCTGCTTGTCTGGGAGGGGATGCATCCCGGGGATTATGGGCCTGTCTATCGCTTTGGGCTTTTGAGGTCTGAGGATTTGGGGGGGGAAGAAGCAAAAAGTCGGCCCATTTTTTTTCCCCCCTCGTTGTCTCATTTCAACTCTAAAACCAAATCATTATATTCCCGTATCATGCAAAAGTCACTGAAATGTCAGAAAACTTACTTTACTGCTGCACAGTGCCAGGTGCCCTAGATGAAATGTGATGAGAAATGCTGCTGGTTAGCAAAAGTAATTTAGATATATATTTTTCTTCCTTTGTTCCACTCATCCCATCTGTCACGCTTCTTTAGAGGTTTGCTTTTACTGTTATAATTAAACAACATTTTCAGCACAGCCTCATTCATCGTTATGTTTAAGACACACTGTAGTTTATGAATATTGCTTTAAAGGAGCAGAAATAAAAGTTTGTATTATAGAAACAGTCCGATCCTTGTCTTAGTCCCTGTCTCAGGATCCAGTGTGCCAGGTGAAACAATACTGAAGAATGTACTGTGGTGAACCAAAATATATATATATATATATGTAGAGAGAGAGGGCAGAATGGCTGATTAGCGAGGCACCAAAAAAGCAAAAAATAGTTTTGAGGGTACAGTTAAACAAATAGGATCTGATTTGTACACCAAGCCATCGTCTCGACTGCTCCACAGTTGTCTCTCATCTCATCTGTGCCTGCTGTCCCTAATCCCACCCCCAGCCGTCCTGTTTCCTGGTCTCCTCCTCTCCTCTCTGCTCTTCCCAGCGCACTACTCCTAGAGGATTAAGCAAAAATGCAAAACAATCATAATTCTAGACAGTATTGGTTTATTTATCAAAGTTGTACATATTTAAATGTATAGTGGGTATTGTGTTTCTAATTTTGTTTATTTGTTTTGCCATTTTCCTTTGGCACTCTGTTAGAATGACTGAGTTAAGGTTTCTATCAATGCCATTTAACCAAGCTGTAATAAAGACAGAATTGTCACAATGCTGACTCTTGTATTCAGTTTCGTTTAAATAGAGCACTGAAGCATATCATAGTTTTAACATGACACCACCAGGTGGCAGTATGTGATAAGGATCACTGGCCATTGTGCTGCAAAGACAGGCGCGCTATTTTTTTCCGTTGCAAATGGTTTATTGTGCACTTTTATGCTGCTAATTAATGCACTTTTCCCAAATCGATGCCTAAATCAAATTATGGTTTAAATGTTGCCAGTCAGCCACATAGATGGCTGTGACTATAACTTCCACTTGAGGGCAGCCTTGAATTTGAATCATGCCCTCTGTCCTGAACGAACACACAAGTCCCAAAGAACATTTGCCCTTATAAAATCCACCCTCCCCTTCTGTTACTGTTTAAAACCAGGCCTTATTTACCCTTATAACATTTCATATCTTTTCACGGGCTTGATTTCAAAGTATTTATGGCAGAAATGTCAGGACAGCAGGGAAAGGTCGATATTCACAAGTGAATATGTATCATATTAAATGATGCCTGGAAAGGCAAATCAATAGAAATGACTTTCTCAATGGAGCAGGCATGCAGGAACCAGCAGGATGTAACTGTTGGGATGCAGTGCAAAGGGAGAACATCTGGGGTCACAAAGGCTAAGATGCAGCTGGATTTGTGTTCCATTTTGATGCCGTGTGTCATAGTGTCATGGGAAAGAACTGGCTGAAAAGTGATTGTTTCTTATTATTAATGACTTTGTAAAGCAGTAAATGATAGGAAGCAAAAAAAAAGTCACAATCCTGCTGCTTCTGTGGGGGGGAAAAAAAACACCATCTTTGATGAATGGTCTGCATATTTCTTCCCTATTCTTTCCATCATGTTCAGCAGTCCATGTGTAATTTCACACAAGACCCTTCAAAGTAGTTTGGGTAAACATTTCAGCTGCAAAAACACAAGTTAAACAAATCAATCCCATCTAAATATTTGCAGGAAATGCTAAATTGTCCTCGTGCATACGAGCTGTTTCTGAGTACATGGACTGATAAAGTTACATATTGTTTCTTCTCGGGCTTTAATTAATGTAGATAGTCGAAATGTTTTAAAGTTGAAACGTGTTTATCTGAACTGAAAACACAAAAAACCCTCAAAAAACAGAAGTTCTGTGATCTGTGGAAGATTAAAACCTTGTTGCTTTTTTTTCCTTTCAAACAAGCGATGTCTAAAATCAAGGCTAAATAAAACTCTGCTTATTTGTTTGATATTTTCCTCTGGGCCATTGCCTGCAGTGTTTTGTGAAAACACGGGTACAAATTATGCAACAATTTGTTCCAGATGTGCACTGAAGACAAAGACAAGAGATTTGTAGCCCTGAATTCCTGCGTTGCATCAATGCATTCTGTTATTAAGTGCATTACTGTATAATCAAAGTGGTTGGTAAATGGCCCCTGATCATCTTTGCATAGCCGCATTCAAGTAATATTTTGCACCCGTGCTGTGAAACAGGGTGATTTTTGAGAATTGCAGAGCAAGAGCGAGGAGGTGATCGTGACTGATGGGAAATGAGAGGCACGCTGCCACTGAAAGAACAAAAAAAAGTGAAAAACTGAACGTGTGGTGGTTGCGAAGCGGCGGCAGAAGCAGGGAAGTCTTTGTTTTTTTGTTTTTTTTTACATTTCTGCACTCTTCTTCGCTTCTCGCATGTCTCACTCGACGTTGGAGTGTGCGTGACAAAGGGAAAGGTGATATTTTCTTCATTAGGAGTGGAGAAAGGAGTGGACGGGCTGTACTGAAAGAAGATCCCGGGAACAAACTGTATTCACAAATATTATTCAAAGCCAAATATTCTTAAAAAAAAAAAAACAAAGGCACGGTATAAATGGCATGGCTCAGTATGACATAGCCGACCTTTGTGCGCTGAAACACACACCACTCGGCTGTGCTGTCACTTTAGGCTTGCTTGGTGGATTCACTTCTCTGTGGTTAAGCTGAGGAAGGAGGGGGAAGGTCTGGGCCTACTGCAGCTCTTATAGGCCAGGGAGAAGGATCCTCCGTCTTCTCAAGTAAGTGGAGACATGTGAGACCAGTAAGGCTCCAATTAGGCCCAGACTATTTCCCAGAAGCACTGGAATCCTCCCCCTGCCTCTCAGCCCACCTCGGTGGGAGAAGGGTGCACCCCACGGTGTCCAGACCTGACCTCAGCTGGCATGAAATGGGCCTTCTCTCGTAGTGGTTCATGCAAGCAAAGAATGTTAAACATAGAAAGGCATGCGCATACAAACACTGTGACATGCAAAGAGAGATGCAACACAGCATTGTGGATGTTTTCACCCAAACCCATCCACAGCTGCACAGCATTTGCTCTGACTGCTCTTTTGGGCCTCGGGTTTGCATAAAATTACCAAGTCAACCCAAAACAGGAGTGTGTTGTTTGTCTGGGATTTTTTTAAGCTGATCTATTAAGTCTAAAAGTCATCATTCATGTTAAGCAGCATTGCTCTTCTACAATGGGAAGAACCTGATCTCAAATGGCTAAAAAGAAAAAAAAAGAATCATGCTTGAGCAAACACAAATACACACAGAGACAAAGCACGACACACAGACAGGCTGGAGCCGTTTGCAGGTGGCAATTAAGCATGTTTTCAAATGCAGGATTGTGCAGCGTTCAAGGTGCATGTACACTTTAGGTGCTGTGCTGACACATGTGTCGGTGGTTTACTGGAAGAAAAGATCCCGCTCAGATCACTTTAGCAATCTCTCTGGTAAAGGACAATGAATATAACCTCAGGGCAGGATTTCTGAGAAAGGGAGTTAAAAGGAAGAGACAACAAAGACAAGACTCCCCCCCACACAACCCCCCCTCACACACACACACACACACACACACAC